TAAAAAGGGGCTTTCTTATTCTTCCCATAGATGTCCTGATTCTTGACGTTGACCAGTTTGAATAATTATCAGTTGTATTTCCAAATAGAGAGGAAAACAAAAGAAACAACATTTTGGGCAGCAACAGTATCACTGTTATTCTAATGATATTGACATCTTTGTTTTTTGTGGCCCTTCATGGCAAGGCATGGTAGTAGAAGGCCAATGGTAGATCATGAAGCTGAATTGTCATTTTTCAGCTTGCATGAATTTCCTATTCTGTGCAGAGTCCTGGAGTGTCCCAGTTTCCTGTTCCAAAAGCCTTGGAGCTGAGGATAGCTGAATCCCTGCCTATTTAATGATTTTAATGATTTGGGTTCCTAATGTTCACATGATGAATATTTCTAGAATCTGGAAAGTACTGATGGAAGAATATGCAACATTGTTGGTTCACACCTTGGTTGTCTCACATTATTTACAGTCTTCTTTTAGGTGTTCTTGGTTGCTCTCTACCCCCTTGATCTGAGTCAAGAAGAGCATTCTTTGAGCTGTTCTGGATTGTCTATGTCTGTGTTTCTCAATCTTGAAAGCTGTAAGTTGGGTGGACTAAGTTGCTAACTAGGGAGTTGAAGTCCACACAGCTTTACAGCTGCTGAGGTTGAGAAACTGTTCTGTTATTTTCAAGTTTTACTATATCGTAGAACTTTTCATTGGCTCCTTTTTCAACCCTATTGGCAGTGTTTAAATTTATAGCCGTCCCCAGTATCACTCTGCCCAGTGGTGGGTTGCTTCCAGTTCGCACCGGTTCGCAAGAACCGGTAGTAAAAATTTGTAGTAGTTCGGAGAACCGGTAATAACATTGGCTGGCCACGCCCCCAAACCGATCCCTGGCCCGGTCGCTGCTCGCTTACCCCGCCCATCTCATCAGAGGCTTTTTTTTACTTTTAAAAGCATTTTGTCTATTTATTTATTTATTTATTTATTTATTTATTTATTTATTTATTTATTTATTTATTGGTTCGATTTATATGCCGCCCTTCTCCAGAGACTCAGGGCGGCTTACAATGCGTTAAGCAATAGCCTTCATACTTTTGTATATCCTGCTTAGTAGGGCTTTCAGTCCCCCCTAAGCGGTGTTCATTTTTATACAAAGTCAGCTTATTGCCCCCACAATCCGGGTCCTCATTTTACCTACCTCGGAAGGATGGAAGGCTGAGTCAACCTTGAGCTAGTGAGATTTGATCCGCTGATCTGCTGAACTAGCAGTCAGCTGAAGTAGCTGCAGTACTGCACCCTAATCACTGCGCCACCTCGGTCTACAACTCTTCGGCTGAAAAAATGCTTTTAAAAATAAAAAAAAAAACCCTCTGGTGATCGTGCGGCTCAGCTGGGGTCGCCAGAGGCTTTTTAAAGCATTTTTTCTACAACCTCTTGTAGGTTGTAGGAAGAGGTTGTAGGAAAAAAATGCCTTTAAAAGCCTCTGGCGATCCCAGCTGAGTTGCCTGATCATCAGAGGCTTCTAAAAGCATTTTTTTCCTACAACTTCTTAAGGTTGTAGAAAAAAATGCTTTTCAAAGTAAAAAAAAAAAAAAGTTGGCCACACCCACCAAGTCACATTACCCCCCACCAAGCCATGCCCACAAAAAAGCCACGCCCACAGAACCGGTAGTAAATAATTTCAGAACCCACCCCTGATTCTGCCCTTGTTTCAATGGACAAGCTGTTCTTTATATTTATCCAAATAGGGCAATGATGGCTAACCTTTTCGAGTCCGAGTGCCCAAAGCATGTGCGTTTGTGCGTGATCACACTCACATGCGCCCGATCCCCCAAAATGCAATGTGTGCGCAAGCCACGTGCATGTGCCCCATCCCTGCACATGAGCATGTGGCCCCCGCATGCTCCCTGCCCCCTGTGCCCCACCCCATGCATGTGCATGTCCCCGCATGCATCTTGCCCCCCACACATGCATGTGTGTGTCCCCTACAATGCCCCCCACAGTGCCCCCCCTCCCCCACATATACACAGCAGAGACCTGAAGACCAGCTGGCCGGTGGGAGGTGCGCATGCATGCATGGCAGATCTGAACTAGGGCGACGACTCACATGCCCACAAAAAGGATGCTGCGTGCCACTTCTGGCATGCGTGCCATAGGTTCGCCATCATGGGAATAGGGTCTTCTTTGGTTCTTGGCTCCAGGATCATAATGTCAAGTTCCAGGCCTTTAGAGACTTGGCCTCACTGCTTTAGTATCAGCTGTCTTCCCTTCTTGATTGCTGAGAAAATGTGGTGGCCTTTAAAAAAGTTTTAGGGATGTTTTTATTTGATTAATGGGCTAGTGAAGGATGAGATTGCTATATCCTATTCTTATTTATCTGACAGCTTTAGATTAACACTTGTTTTCAATTATGATCAATGAATATACATTAAGCCCTACCCCAGGATGTTGCTTTAAATCTATAGTTCTTGTACAGGTTGTTTTAGCATTAGCTCATTTGTGCTGTTTGTATATTGTAGTTTTGTCATGTTCGGAGAGTTGCACAAATTAGTATCATGTAGGTGTGTGGGGGTGGTGGTCAGATGGGGATTAAGTGTATCTGTTTTTAAAATATACACCTGTTCTTTCTTATAATGGGAGATAAAACAATGGCAGTGTAGGTTTTGTATGTGTCTAGCTTTTCTTTCTTTTTTTTGTTTGCAGTCCCATTACTTATTTCATGAAGTGAATTCTCACATACATTCACACAATTTAAATTATGCAAACAGAGTAAATGCTGAAGCAACCCCTTTCTCTTTTATGTCAGGGAAAGGTGATTTGACTTGAAGGCAAGAATCACACCTTCAAATTGAATCTTTGAATCAATACATGGTGTCTAATTGAATCGGGTACCTTCAAACTGGCTCAAAGAGATTAGAAGACTGGAGAGAGACTGGGACAGTTTTAAAGATGGTTTCCGCATATAACTAATGTGGGGAGCTGATGAGTTGCATATAAGAGTTTCTCATACTGACATGAGTTTTATCACCTCTGAAAACTCTGTTCTTTTTTGCCTGTGCCCTATTCTCCTAGTAGAATAGGTTTAGGCAGGTTCATTTGAAAGGAAGGAAAAAATGAGTGGAACAGAGCCCCTCAGATTAATTCTATCTACTATTTCTTATCTTTTACCTGTTTTCAAGTCTATACCTTCTTATTGTATGCTCTCCTTTTGTTTCTTTCCGCTGCTTACCTGTTTTGAGTGAGTCTTAATTATGAATTGGTCTAATTACATGGAAGCTCAAATACTTTGGTCACCAAATGAGAAGAGAGGACTCATTGGAAAAGACTCTGATGCTGGGAAAGACTGAAGGCAAATGGAGAAGGGGACAGGAACGAATGAAATTGTTAGACAGTGTCATCAACACAATGAACATGGACAAACTCCGGGAGACAATGGAAGACAGGGGGCATGGCATGCTATGGTCCATGGGGTTGCAAAGAGTCAGAAAGGACTTAGCGACTGAGCAATAACAACATCAACAATTAAAGTAGTGGCCAAAATTATGGAAACCTTTTGGGAAAAGTATATTTTTGAGGTTTGATGGCTAATAACACCACCTTTTTTTGGAGTAGTATCATAAAATTATATATCAATGGAAAGATAATTTTTGATAGACTAATTTGCATAATACAAACTGCTTCTTTATATCATTGTGTTACACACAAACCAGACTTCTTTAAAAAATGCAGAAAAGCACAACGATCCATGGCAATAAATTTACCAGTTCAAAAAAAGCAAGCAATCAGCACATTCCGAGAACCTACCTTTTAAAGAACTTTTGAAAATGTTTATTTTTTTTTCAATGGGTGTCGGATACTTTTTGCATTAGTAAGCACATTTTCTAGTTAGCCAAGTGGGAGGTTGCTGTGTTAGCTTTCTTCACGTCTGTCGTAGAAGAAGTGCAAGGGAAATGTTTCAGAATGAATTGTACAGAACCCTTGACAGTATCCATTTGAGCATTTGCTGGGCTAATCTCTTTCTTTCTTTTATTCTGCTCCTAATATTGTGATGTTCGTTGTTACTTTCATCCATTCCTGAAAAAAAGAAAAGAAAAGAAATGTAGCTACAAGCATATTGATGTTTTTTTCCATTAAAGCTATGGTAAAATCTTTTATCAGCTCAATTTGAATATAATCTTTCTGCTCTGAATTCAGATGTTTGAATCAATTTATATTATGTTTGGGTCTCACATTCAAATCAGATCTTGGTTGATTTACATGATTCTAATAATGCAGAAAAGCATTTGTGTGTGTACGTGTATGTATCAGTGGTGGGTTTCAAAATTTTTTACTACCAGTTCTGTGGGCACAGATGCTAAATTTATTTGGCAGACAAGTAAATTCCACTTGAAATTGGTGGAATTTTTCCCCTTCCCAGGGAGGAATTCAAAGACTTACTGTTTATATATGGAATATCTCTTTTTAGGATACTCCATACATCCATATAACTTTGTTTTTCTGGTAGTGGCTGATACAGGTCTGATGGCTATGTCTATGGAAGATGCTTCTATTTAACTGCGAATAGTTCTGAAGTTTCTCCTTTAGTATTTAGAGCTAATCAGAATCCATATATTAGGACCCATTGCTCATCATTCTACTTAGTTATTTCTGCATCATCGCCCATTTTTCACATTCTATTTAATTCTTTCATACAAGCATATTTTAACACAAATGTAAATCCTGCAGAATGTCACTGCCATGAGTAATTCTATTAATAAATTGAATTCAATATCTGTTCCGGACCTGCTTTTACTTCAGGTCACTAAGTAGCTAGTTTGTCACTGTGAGTGGTAAAATGTTTCAAGATAATAATATTTGTAATGAATTTACTATTGCAGTCAAAATAAACAAGAACAATTAACGCTGATTGCGACTGAAAGCAAAGTGACGACATCATATTTACTTAAGCAATATTGTTTCTATTAGAGTGCATAATTTATATGCTTTTAGGATTAAATAATGTCTGTGTTTTTTTTAAATTTTAGCAAAATGCATCTATGGGGATAAAGTGTTGGCAGAAGGTCAGAAGATTGTAATCAAGAACTGCAGAGAATGTCGTGTAAGTTTTTTTTTTAAAAAAAAATATTTGGCAGCAATCCTATGCATTACATTTCCCCATTCAAGTTTCTTCAGAATATTCTTCAGAATAAACATGCATGTCATTGTGTAATAAATACTTACAAGTTTTAAGTAATGCACAAACTTTGTAAGTAACAACAGCATGTGAAAATATTCATGAGTCCTTGGGTGGAAAAAGTACACAGGCCCATCATACAGTATGTGTTTTTATGATTTAAGAAGTAGTTTTTATCCTTCCCTACATCAGGAGCATTGACAACAGATTTATTTTTTACACTGCTGTCATCTATATCACTATGTTCATAAACACTCATTCACACATTCCACATCTCTCTTTCCCTTCCTTGAAAAGATTTTTGAGTCTTGTATGCTGGTTCATCAGTCTATTTTGCCAGGTTTTAATATGTTAGAAACAAAACTGAAGAGGTTTTTAAAAATACGTTGATAGGCTGGTTTCAAAAGGATAAGGTGGGGGCAGTGGTGGGCTGCAACCGGTTTAATAACCAATTCTGTGAGGCCTAATGTGCATGCTTGGAGCGTTCAAAATACAGCAATTTGAAGCTCAGCTGCTTACCTTCTACGGCAGCCCCGGTAAGTAGAACAGCGGAGGCACGCAAATCAGCTGAGCCAGAAAGAAGGAAATATAAGACAGGATAGGATGGGGTCAGGTGGCCAGGGCCAGCTTATCGGCAGAAGTACCGGTTTGCTAGAACTGGTCTGAACCGGCAGCAGCCCACCACTGTTGGGGCCAACAATCAGGAGACACTAGGAAATGAAATAGTAAAAAATGAATTATGGATCCTGAAGATGTTACCTAGCCTGGTAACAAAACGTTTGGAAACCAACCCACAAGCTCGGAGAACAAACCTTCACCCTCACACTAGGAAATAATAGAACTACAGGCTAGACTGGGAAATCGGGAGAAAAAAAGAATGTAAAAGGAAGTTGCAGCCAGCTATTTTGGAGTTACTACTAAGAAAATTAGGTGGAAATCCCTGAAATCTCCAGGAGTTGAGCTTGACTTGAAGAAAACTTTATTATTAAGTAAACTTGAGTTCTTCAACAAGATTCACAAGAGTAGTCATTCTTTAAAAAATTTGCCCACAAATTTGATGAGACAATGTGAAACTCTCAACATGAGATTATATTAGGTTTAGGACTGAAGTATGGGTTGGATTGGTGTATATTCTGTCAATTTCCTTTAGGAAAGGAAGTTCTATGGCAGGTGTGCAGGAAGCCCTCAATTTTAAAAAATGGCAGGAAAGGTAGGTTTGTAAATGACCACCTTCTGCTATTCTTTGGCTTCAATGTCTTATTATACAGAAAACATGCTATTTCTTTTAACTTCCATTTATAAAGGTATCTATCATAGTCTTTTTAAAGATCGCAATCTAAAAATAATGGGAGAAAAAGGATTTTAACTGGTGAAAGTAATGGGGAAAACTTTTCATTAGTTGAAAAAAAGGAAGCAAAGCTGCTTAAAATTCATTAAAGCTACCTCCGGTTGCAGAACCGCCAATTTCACTCGGCTATAAAAATTACAGTAACTTAGAAACTAGAGAAAGCTACATTTATCCTCTCTGCTTGATCTCCTTGGATTTGTAATAACGGACACTGCCTTTATCACATATTAGCCCTGAGCAGGTAAGCAATGGAAATGAGCATCCATTTTAATTAAATAACAATTAATGCAACAATTAACCTAAAAATAAGAAAAGAATAAAAAGTCAATTAGAACATTAAGCAGGAAATGAGAGGGAAATAAATGTATTTAGAAACTTTAAATCGAAGAAAGGGTTATGGACCAAATGTGTGCACATGGTTGTGAAAAAAAGTGGCATAGGGCTGAAAAATCAAAGTGGATGTTTAATAAGCAAACAAATTTTAGGAAAGAGTGAAAAACAACAGAAATAAAACAAAAGGAGGTTGTTAAGTAGGAGAAAGATGATAGATAGATTTAGAAGTTTTAAAATTTCACATGAAACAATAGAAGAAATCAGTGAACAATGAAAAAAGAAGCTGAAGGAGAGGAAATGAGAAGAAAAGAGGAACTGAGATCAAAGAACAGAGAATCCTAAAGTCAGAAAGGATAATTAGATCTTTGAGCCCAATGTGTTGCTTAGAGAAAGAATTGAAATTAATGTACTATTCATGGATAGTTTTGTAGCATGTGCTTAATACAGCCAATACGGATGATCTTATCACCTTTCTGTGCAAATAGTCCCACCATAAAACTTTCCTAATTGGAAATGTACTTTGTTGTTGTCCCAAAGATGCTTTTTTCAAGAGGCAACTGGACTTTCTGGTTGCCTCTTGGAAGAAAAAAAAAACACATCTTTGAGACAACCATGACCTGGATGGTTGAGAATCTCCATAGACGTATTGTTGTTCTTATTGTTTTTGTTATCTGCCCCATAACCTGAATTCTATTATTTTGTACTATGATATGATGGGGAACAGACCTTGGCCCTTCTTGTGACATCCTTTCAGATACAGGCAGTCTTTGACTTATGACAGTTCATTTAATGACCTTTCGAAGTTACAACAGCACTGAAAAAGTGACTTATGACCATTTTTTACACTTACGACCGTTGCAGCATTCCCCATGGTCACGGAATTTCTATGCAGATACTTGACAGCTGATTCCTTTTAGGATGGTTGCAGTGTCCCGGGGTCATGTGATCACCTTTTGTGACCTTCTGACAAGCAAAGTCCATGGGGAAGATTCACTTAACAACTGTGTTACTAATTTAACAACTACAGTGATTCACTTAACAAATGTGGCAAGAAAAGTCATAAAATGGGGTAAAATTCACTTAACAAATTTCTCACTTAGCAACATAAAATCTGGGCTCAATTGTAGTCATAAATCAAGGACTACCTGTACTTTAAGATTGCTCTTATATCTCTGTAAACATCTCTATTAAAACCCAGCGTCTGCAGTTTCTTCATTCCCCTTATTTTGCTGAAGTTTACACTTTTCTGATCATCCTTGTTTTTCTTTCCTGGATCTTTTCAAATTCATCAGAGTGAATCTTAAAGTATGGTGTCTCGAATTGGACATAAGACTTGAGGTGGAGCGTAGACAGAATCAAATGGAATGGTTGATTCCCACAATTAGGAAAGTACAAATCTATAATGCAGGCCAAAACTGAACCAACCATTTCTATAGATATAGCACACCGCTATACCCAGTTTGTAATCAAATAGTGTCTTAAAATCTTTTTCTTAAGTACTATTACTAGGTATCTCCCCATATTTTATTTTTACTTTCTAAGTGAAAAACTTATTTTCTCAGTTAATCCAATAGGTTTAGAAAAGATTTAACCGGGACAAAGAAAGACTAATATAGTAAGCCAAGCATGACTTTAATCAAAGCGAAATAAATATATTTTTATTTAAGTTACATTTAGAAATAAAGAGATAAAACCTAAAAACGAGTAGTGTTAATTAAGGAGTAGAAAAGAAAGCTCTATTTTTCCTTATGTAGAATAGTTAAAAATAGTTAAAATGATTAAGAAACTAATCTTAGAATTAAGAAACTAATGTTTTCGAAAACAGTCAATTCTTTCTATATTTTGTGCTTAGATATTGTTTCAGATCTGATCGTTATTATTTAGATGCAAATAATTCAGTTCAATTTGATTTACAACTTGCTTTAAAAAACAGAATCTAGCATGAAGTAAAAGGATACCACCTTCATGTTCATTTACAAGAATCCATTTAGATCCTATCTAACCCATAAAAGTTTCCTTCAATAATAGTAATAGTAGTAGTAGTAATACCAGGAGTATTAACATGTGAGTGCAGCAAAATCGCACAAACTGATTACCAAGCTAGGCATGACCGAGTTGCTAAATTAATCCACTGGTCATTATGTAAAAAAATATGATTTACCTGTATCCAGAAAGTCATGGGAACATAAAGTGGAAAAAGTTATAGAAAATGAGAAGGGGAAGATCTTGTGGGACTTTCGAATACAGACAGATTGTCACTTGGAACACAACACGCCAGATATCACAGTTGTCGAAAACCGAAACATACAATTTATTGACATCGCAGTACCAGGAGATGCCAGAGTCGAAGAAAAAGAACTGGAAAAAATCATGAAATATCGTGACCTGGCCATCGAAACTACACGGCTATAGATGAAACATGCCACAGTGATACCCATTGTCATTGGGGCACTTGGTACCATGTCTAAGAATTTTATAAGATACATCAACAAATTGCAGCTTCCTGCAATAACACCAGCGGAGCTGCAAAAAACTGCCTACTTGGAACATTGTACATCTTAAGAAGGTACTTGGTTGATACCTAGGACACTGGCAGCAACCCATATCAACCAGTAGCACAAGTCAATGTTATTTGTGATGCATTTTTGAATGTTCAGTTGACTGAGTTTCATGTTTAATGAATAAAGTTAATAATAATAATAATAATAATAATAATAATAATAATAATAATAATAATAATTTATTTTATTTATTTATTTATTTGATTTGTATACCGCCCTACTCCCGAAGGACTCAGGGCGGTGAACAGCCAACAATAAAATACATAAATACACAAAATTTAAAAACCCGATAAAATCAAATTAAACTTTTTGGCCCAGACAAATTAAAATACCCCAATAATTTAAAAACAGATTAAAATTTACATATTTAAAAAGGGATAATAATAATAATAATAATAATAATAATAGTAGTAGTAGTAGTAGTAGTAGTAGTAGTAGTAGTAATAGTAGTAGTAGTAGTAATACCAGGAGATGCCAGAGTCGAAGAAAAAGAACTGGAAAAAATCACAAAATATTGCGACCTGGCCATCGAAACTACACGGCTATAGATGAAACATGTAATAGTGATACCTATTGTCATTGGGGCACTTGGTACCATGTTCAAGAATTTTACAAAATACATCAAGAAATTCAGCTTCCTGCAATAACACCAGTGGAACTGCAAAAAACTGTGCTACTCAGAA